GAGACGGGAGGGAAGAGAGAGAGAGGGGCAGAGAAAGAGAGGGGGAGAAGGAGGAGAGAGAGAGGGGGGATGGGGAGAGAGAGAGAGAGAGAGAGAGGGAAAAGAGAGCGGAGGGAGAGAGGTAGGGGGAGAGAGAGGGGGTGAGAGTAGGGGGAGAGAGGGGGGGGGGAGAGAGAGAGAGAGACAGAGAGAGATAGGGGGAATAGAGAGAGAGAAGGAAGAAAGGGGAGGAAGGGGAGAAGAGGGGGGTGAGAGAGAAAGAAGAGAGGGAGAAAGAGAGGGAAGAGAGAGAGAATCATATATATATATATATATATACAGTCAGGTCCATAAATATTGGGACATCGACACAATTCTAACATTTTTGGCTCTATACACCACCACAATGGATTTGAAATGACACAAACAAGATGTGCTTTAACTGCAGACTGTCAGCTTTAATTTGAGGGTATTTACATCCAAATCAGGTGAACAGTGTTGGAATTACAACACTTTGCATATGTGCCTCCCACTTCTTAAGGGACCAAAAGTAATGGGACAGAATAATAATCATAAATCAAACTTTCACTTTTTAATACTTGGTTGCAAATCCTTTGCAGTCAATTACAGCCTGAAGTCTGGAACGCATAGACATCACCAGACGCTGGGTTTCATCCCTGGTGATGCTCTGCCAGGCCTCTACTGCAACTGTCTTCAGTTCCTGCTTGTTCTTGGGGCATTTTCCCTTCAGTTTTGTCTTCAGCAAGTGAAATGCATGCTCAATCGGATTCAGGTCAGGTGATTGACTTGGCCATTGCATAACATTCCACTTCTTTCCCTTAAAAAACTCTTTGGTTGCTTTTGCAGTATGCTTTGGGTCATTGTCCATCTGCACTGTGAAGCGGCATCCAATGAGTTCTGAAGCATTTGGCTGAATATGAGCAGATAATATTGCCCGGAACACTTCAGAATTCATCCTGCTGCTTTTGTCAGCAGTCACATCATCAATAAATACAAGAGAACCAGTTCCATTGGCAGCCATACATGCCCACGCCATGACACTACCACCACCATGCTTCACTGATGAGGTGGTATGCTTAGAATCATGAGCAGTTCCCTTCCTTCTCCATACTCTTCTCTTCCCATCACTCTGGTACAAGTTGATCTTGGTCTCATCTGTCCATAGGATGTTGTTCCAGAACTGTGAAGGCTTTTTTAGATTGGCAAACTCTAATCTGGCCTTCCTGTTTTTGAGGCTCACCAATGGTTTACATCTTGTGGTGAACCCTCTGTATTCACTCTGCTGAAGTCTTCTCTTGATTGTTGACTTTGACACACATACACCTACCTCCTGGAGAGTGTTCCTGATCTGGCCAACTGTTGTGAAGGGTGTTTTCTTCATCAGGGAAAGAATTCTTCGGTCATCCACCACAGTTGTTTTCCGTGGTCTTCCGGGTCTTTTGGTGTTGCTGAGCTCACTGGTGCGTTCCTTCTTTTTAAGAATGTTCCAAACAGTTGTTTTGGCCACGCCTAATGTTTTTGCTATCTATCTGATGGGTTTGTTTTGTTTTTTCAGCCTAATGATGGCTTGCTTCACTGATGGTGACAGCACTTTGGATCTCATCTTGAGAGTTGACAGCAACAGATTCCAAATGCAAATAGCACACTTGAAATGAACTCTGGACCTTTTATCTGCTCATTGTAATTGGGATAATGAGGGAATAACACACACCTGGCCATGGAACAGCTAAGAAGCCAATTGTCCCATTACTTTTGGTCCCTTAAAAAGTGGGAGGCACATATGCAAACTGTTGTAATTCCTACTACACCGTTCACCAGATTTGGATGTAAATACCCTCAAATTAAAGCTGACAGTCTGCAGTTAAATTACATCTTGTTCATTTAATTTCAAATCCATTGTGGTGATGTATAGAGCCAAAAATGTTAGAATTGTGTCGATGTCCCAATATTTATGGACCTGACTGTATATATATATATATATATACATATATACATACATGCACACTTATTGACTCTCTCGCTCTCTCATGGGGGGGGGGGGGGCGCAACATTTTTGTGTTGCCTAGGGCAGCACAAAGTCTAAATACATCACTGCTGGCAATATGAAACTGAAGAAACTTTAAAAAGGTGTATACGGGTAGAATCTAACAATCGTGTGACTTGTAGGGCAAGAAAAAAAAGAAGAGAAGAAGAAGAAAAGGGAAATAACAAAGAGAGGGAGATGGGGGAAAGGATTGCAAACAGGAGGCAAGTGGGGGGGGTAGAGGGAGAAAGCAGGGGCAAAAGTATTGGAGGGGGTGAGAGAGCAGGGGAGGGGGATAAGGAGAGGAAAAGGGAAGGGCAAGGGAACAGAGAGAAGGAAGAGACACAAAAAAATAAGGGGGGAGAAGAAGAACCCCCCGGGGGAACAACTCCAGTGGGTCTAGACTGGGATCCAGTCATCAGGGGTCTGGTGATAAGGCAAATCGTAATTCCTCTGAGTATGAAGAGAGGGGCGTGCAGATCAAAGGGGGAAGATCGGGTAGAACATGCACTCAAGCAAGTGACAATGTGCTTCAGGAGCAATGGCTGTCAGGGAGGGAGGCCAATGACGGAGCGAAACTTGGGAGTTGTTTGGAAGTGTATCCAACAGGCCCAAGTATGCGAGAATTTAGTCGGATTATCGTGTGAAGAATTAATGAGTTTCCTCGATCTCTACCAATCTATTCAAACGGATCATCCAATCTCGAATTGATGGGGGTCGGGATGATCTCCAGAGGAAAGGTATGCATAATTTGGCTGCAATTAGCATATGCATAGCTAGCGATTGGGAATAGAGGTGCCTAGGGATAGAGGTATGGTGGAGTAGGCATTGGGCTGGGGAAAAATCGAGAGGTAGCGAGGAGACCGACGAGGTTATGCGATGAACCTCTTTCCAGAAGGGTTGGATGGCTTGGCAGGACCACCAAATATGAAGGAGGGAACCCACCTCAGAGTCACATCTCCAACAAGAATTGGGTAGGCTTGGGTTAAAACAATGAAGTCTGGAGGGGGTCCTTATACCAGCGAGAAGCCAATTCATAAGCATTTTCTTGGGTTGAAACGTTCAAAGAACCTTTATGCGCAAAAGTGAATATCTAGTCCCAGTCTGAAAAGGATAAATCGAGCTCCAAATCTCTCTTCCATGCTCGGCAGGCCGGGAGTGCAGAAGGGATTCGGTCACCAAATAGAAGAAGATACGTGGTTGAAACCAAATGCCGTTGGGGTTCCGTTTTGGAGCAAAGGGCTTCAAAGGGGGTGAGAGGGCGAGTCCAATTGTTGTGGTGGGCTTTTGAGTGGAGAAAATGTCTTATTTGGAGATATGCCCAAAAGGGAAAGGTGTGGTCCTTCATGGAGGGGATGAGTGAGGCTAGGGTCTTCAGTTGGCCTTTACAAAAGAAGTGTTCTGCACGCACATGTTGATGAGGCCAATGCTCAGCTAGAAAAGATGAGTGCAAGCCCGGTGGGAAATCCGGATTCATGTGTAGGGAGGTAAGAGGATTAGGGGCATCTGAAATGCAAGCGACTTGGACACCAACCGAAAGATCTTCAAGGTTGCTCCTATCAATGTATGGAACATCGGGGGGGTATGTTTTGCTGGGAGCCAAGGAATCAGTGCCAAAGGAGAGGGAGAGAAAGAGTCCTCGAGGCGAACCCATGCTATAGTTGACGGATGCACGTTCCAATCTATATTTCTGGTGAGATGACAGGCCCAATGATATTTTTGAAGATCGGGGAGCCCGATACCCCCTTTGGATTTGGGGAGAGTCAATTGCGAGAAGGAGATTCGTGGAAGTTTATGGCTCCAAAGGAACTGTGATTAGATTTTCTTGCAATGAGCAAAGAAGGTGGCAAGTGGATAGGAATGGTCTGGAAGAGGTAGAGTAAGCGGGGAAGGATATTCATTTTAAGGATTGCAGCCCTTCCGAACCAGGAAAAACAAGGGTGATGCCATTTCTAGAGCTCTTCCTGAATAGTTCGAAGGGCAGGGATAAAGTTTTTAGCATATAAATCCAGGAGAGTACTAGGGAGCTGTATTCCAAAGTAAGTAAGGGCCTCTGATTCCCATTTGAACGTGAAGTGTGACTTACACGTAATGACTACATCAGGAGGGAGGGTAATGTTGAGAGCAGAGGATTTGGAGAAATTAATTTTGAGGTTGGAGAGGAATTGAAAGGAATTCTTGAAAAAGGTTGGGCAGGGTAGTTCTGGGTTCTGAAAGGAAGAGTAAAATATCGTCTGCATAAGCGGCAGTTTTATGCATGTATCCATCAACAGAGACTCCCTTGATATTGGGATTCACCCGGAGTTTACGAAGCAAGGGCTCCAACGTTAGGATGAAAAGAAGCGGTGAAAGGGGGCAGCCTTAACGTGTGCCATTTTTGAGAGGGAAGGGTCTCGACAAATGCCAATTTAACCAAATTTGGGCCTTGGTACATGAGTACAAGGCCATGATGTAGTGAAGCATATTAACTAACTAACTATATAATTGTGTACCAGAAGATAGGATTTTTTTTCTGTTCACAAATTATCTAGTATTCAGCTAAACTTGAGTTCTGTGGTTTTTATATTTATTATCTGAATCTACTTTTTGCACTAAGCATGGATTTTTTTAAATTCTTAGTCTTGAATGTGCTGCATATTTTTATTAATAGCAATAGTAAATTCCAACCACCACCTGACTATGTGCATCCCTAATGACAGCAATTGTCAAGAATCTGTGTTGGTAAGACTATAAATGAGAATTATTTTCCCACATTTGGCAAGCCTCACAAATTTTAATAATAGTATTCATAATATTCACTTTGCTAGAAAAATAAACACCATCTTACTTAAACAGTTTAGTAATCTTTCTATGGTGCTTTCATTTATCCAACAAAGATAACACAAGACATGTCATGGTTTAATGAATGGTCATGGTTTATTGAATCAAAACTAACAGAATTTTTACTAGTTCAGCTGTCCACAGTATTCAGCTTTTCATGTTTATTTTCTTTCTACTTGTGTATCTAGTGACAGTATTAGGAAATGTTGTGATTATCACACTGGTCTGGACACACCCACAGCTCAAAACGCCAATGTACTATTTTTTGTGCAGCTTATCCTTCCTGGAAATTTGGTATATATCAGTCACACTTCCAAAGATATTAGAGGACTTTCTTTATTCAACTAAAAGTATATCAGCTATTGGCTGTATTGTCCAGTGCAGGGGTGGACTGACCATTCGAGCACTCGGGCACTGCCTGAGGGCCCTGGGTCAGTAGGGGGCCCCATGAAATGCCCCTGGCACCTTTTTATAGGCTTTTTGGGTGTGCTTTGAGTGTGGGCGAGAACACAGGGGCCCCATGATCCCCTATTGCCTGGGGGCCCCATGAGCTGTCAGTCCACCCCTTGTCCAGTGTTACTTCTTTTTCGTACTTGGAGCTATTGAAAATTACATTCTGGCTGTTATGGCATATGATAGATATGTAGCCATTTGTAACCCATTAAGATATTCGACAATCATGAAACCTGTACTTTGTTGTCAGTTAGCTGTAGGTGTTGGTTATGCAGTCTTTTTGTCAGTCAGTTTTGCCTCTTTATTGGTTATACAGTTTATCATTTTGTGGCTTGAACCAGATTGATCATTTCTTTTGTCATATACAGTAATTCCCTTACTGAACAAGTCCTGCACAGACACTTCCAAGCTAAAGACATATTTCTTCATTATGGTTTAGACAATTGTTTTTGGTTGCTTGCTGTTTACTATTCTATCATATGTGCAGATTATATTGACTGTTTTATGCATAGCATCATCATCTGGAAAGAGTAAAGCCTTTTCTACTTGCGTGTCTCATCTTGCAATCGTAGTTATTTATTATGGACCTGTTATATTGATATATGTGAGATCATCAAAAGGCCAGATATTTGAATATGACAAATATATATCAGTGTTCTATGCAGTGGTAACTCCCTTTCTCAACCCAATAATTTATAGCTTGAGAAACAAAGAAGTAAGGAATGCATTATGCTTAATGAAAAAGTGTAAGTGAAATATAATCATTATTGATGCTCTGAAAACCATTTTACAGACCTTTTTAAATATAAAAAAAAGCTATTTCCTTTGAATATATTTTTATGTAAATTTGTCAAAATTCAGCATTTAGGTCAGAATACTACTGGAACTCAACAGGATAAAGACCCTTAGAGCACCATACAACAAAAAACTCAGCTCCAGCCGAAACAGTCTAAGAAAGGTTAGAGCTGACTATGGTTATTATTATTATTATTATTATACAGGATTTATATAGGACCATCAGTTTGTGCAGTGCTTTACAAAATGAAGGCAGACATTACAGTTAAAATACAATTTGGTACAAGAGGAATCAGAGGGCCCTGTTCGTTAGCGCTCTGAATCTAAGAGAGAGGGTCAAGTGATACAAAGGGTAATAGCTGTGGGGGATGAGCTGATGTAGAAAGTAAAAACACAGTGCATTCGTTAGAAGCAGGATAAGTTTCTTTAAAAAGAGGGGTTTTCAGGGATCATCTAAAGGTGGATAGATTAGGAGATAGTCGGACAAATTGGGGTAGGGAGTTCCTTAGGATAGGAGAAGCATGGGAGAAGTCAAAGACAAACATGGGGGGAGGTGACGTGGAGATTAGAGAGCAGGAGGCCTTGGGAGAACCAAAGAGAGTGATTTGGTTGGTATTTTGAGACCAGGTTGGTGATGTAGCTGGTGGCAGAGTTGTGGATGGATTTTTAAGCTGTTGTTAGTACTTTGAATTTTATTCATTGGGTGAGTGGAAGCCAGTGGAGGGATTGGCAGAGAAAGGTACTAGACACTGAATGGTTGGCAAGGTGGATGAGTCTAGCAGCAGGATTCATGATGGATTGAAGGGTGGATAGGTTATGTAAAGGTAAGCAGCAGTCAAAGCAAGAGATAACCAGGAAGTGAATTAGAAGCTTTGTAGTGTCATTGCCTAAAAAGAGGCAGGTTACACCTTGCACCCTGGCATGCGGGGATGGGTTGATAGTTGTGCCATTGATCTTGACCAAGAAATCAGGGGAAGGGGCACGTGGGGGAGGAATTGTTATAAGATCAGTTTTGGATAGATTAAGTTTGAGGGAGTGGTGTGACATCCAGATATATCTGTCAGTAAATCAGTGATGAAATTGATGGAGTGAGCTGAGGGGTAGAGAGATCGATTTGTGTGTCATCAGCATAGAAATGATATTGGAAATCATGGAAAGCTATAAGCTGACTCAGGGAAGAGGTGTAGATCAAGAATAGGAGAGGACAATGGACAGAACCTTGAGGGACCCAGATGGTAACATTAATAGGAGTGGAGGAAGTAGAGTTGTAAGTGACACTGAAGGTGCAGTGAGATATGTAAGATGCAAACCAATGGAGAATACAGTCATGGAAACCAAGGTAACAGAGTACATGGATCATCATGGAGAATAAGAGAGGGTAGAGGTTCATAGATCTGCTGTATCACCCAATATATGGTTTCTGCCCAGTAACCAAAAAACATGCATACAAAAGAGGGGGGTTGTGAAAACAGATTCACAAAAAAGTGGTTACATCATGGACAGAATGCGATACTCAGGGAAGTTTCCAAAAATTATGCTTTATTACACAATAATTATAGACAATAGGGTAAATACCCTGGTTCACCATCACCTCAGTATGAGATAATACAAAAAGACCTAAAATCACATAAAAGCAACGTCAAGACCGGTCTTATTCATTAATGTGCTGCATATGTAATGACAGAAACCTGTCTAGTACATTTGCAGCACCAACACATTGGTTACACCACCAACAGGGGGTGTGTCAAAAAAATTGTACCATCAGGTATAATGTACTATACAATGCTATGCAATAATGGCTGATAGCAGGCACCATATATTAATAACAAAATTACCCATAACCCAATCAAGGCAATGTGGGTGAAAAATTGAAAATATATGTGGGGATTCGGATGCTCCTATAATAACAAGATGATAGCAATACAGCCCCTATTCAGGGCATGAGTGAGTGGGTGAACATATACAGATTCACAGTGGACATGTCCATATATATAGATGCAGAGTCAGTCTTGAAAGAATCACTGTTGGAATCCTTAATAATATAAAGATGATAAAGATGGCAGGGCCCTGCTTCAAGGACTTTCTTCACGGCAACGTGCGGGCTATAGACCACCTTAATATAGATGATAGTATAAAACCTGCTGGTCCTCCGTCTCTTGTAATATATAAATGGTGCCTTGCACCTGGATAGTCAATCATACTGTCCCCATCCTGCAATAAATTGTTGACAAATGGACAGTTAATCAATATGTATTCTTGCTGATGTATGTATAGAGTGGTGAGTTAACGCCTTTTCGTCTAGCTGTGTGACAGTTCACTCACCACCCGTGCCATAGGTGATACTTTCTGGAAGTTTCCTCCGTCTGGATTACCAGGCATAGTCCCTGGGGGACAGCCGCCAAAGTCAGGACTGTAACTGGCGGGCTCCGTTCTCCCTTTGGTGCCTGTGCAGCCTTGCACAACTCATGGCCCACAAATATGGCCGCTTCCCTGCTGGTCAGCGTGTATGGCGCCAATGCGTGTGATTGGAAGTGACGTATCCGACGTATGACGTCAACGCGTTTCGCCGATGGGCGTATCTCATCCACATAAAAGATTTTTTTCAGAGCCTTGTGGTGCTAACAGGTCAGCTAGCATCTTACTTTTTGTCCCAAACAACTGAAAGTTTGGAAAAATTTTGATATTTTGGTCAAGCTGGAGGCACACTAAAATTCTAACATCTTTAAATGTGTCTACAAGTTTTTCTTGAAGTAGATTTCATTTACATTTGCCTTTTTTTCCGTAAGACATAGACAAATCCTACTTAGGCAATCAATTTAGTAATTAGGTGAATGGAGGAGTTCAAACTATGTATGATTTTGTGTAGCTAAAGTAATAGCATAGGCCCATTTCTTAAACCAACAACAAGTTTGGTAAGTATTGCATGCTCACGCTAACATAGTTTATGTTGAAAGTGTGAGGAATGTTTTGTTCATGGATGTGAGGGTCTTACTTGCCTATAATTACAATCAGTGCTATTAATTTCTGCTTCCAGTGAGTGCTAGATGATTTGTCCATAAAACAACTTAAAGACTGGTCGCCCTCCTCCACCACTGCAATACTGCAATACTTTGGGGGGACCACCCCTCTCTGCCCACGGCCCAGGGAATCCATGGACTGCTTCGTGGAGTGGTCCGAATCCCGCTCCTTTTCAGTCCCCCACCTGTCACAGGGAGACACAGAAGCTGCTGCAGCCAAGATAGCCGCCACTGAAATCATCCCCATCTGACACAGGAGATTAGCAGAGCCTTCACCAGCCACAGCCTTCTACTCCTCACCCTCCGGTCCTTGCCTCACCAGCTGGCACCTACCCTCACGGCAGCGGTCAACAGAGTTGTTCTTAAAGGGCTAGAACAGCTACACAAAGATCTTCACTCTCAGTCACAGCACATTACGCAGATGGAGGATAGGATCTTTTTCCATTGGAGATGACTCAATGGTTGTTTCTGCGACAGTAACCCTACTCACCATGGTCCACAGAGATCTTCAGGATAAGGTAGACAATCTAGAAACCGCTCATGGTGGAACAATTTATGCATTATAGGCCTGCCCGAGTCGTATTCTCCTTCCATGCTGACACTATATGAGCTACGTCCATACCGGTGCACCTAGGCCTCGACACCCCTGCGCAGTTGAAAGAGCCCACAGGATTGGTCCACCGTTTGACTCTCACACTAAACCTAGGCCATTCATTGTCCGCTATCTGAACTACACTGACAAACAGACCATCCTTCAAAGTCCAGTGCACACATGCTTTATCTGTGGACAGACACCAACTACTCCTGTTCGCGGACTACTCAATGGAGGTTATGCGACAACATAAGGCCTTCTCTGCAATCTGCTCCACTCTCTATAGCAGGCAGGTTAAGTTCACCCTGGCTTATCCCACTGTTCTTCATATCCAGCCATCGGATGGAGAAAGGCAATCCTTCACTTCACCGTTGGAAGTAGAGCAATACCTTAACAGTATCCCTGAAGCAGCCATGGATCAAAGTCCCTCTTCTGCACCATCTTCCTCCTCCCCCCAAGGGGAAATTCCGTGACCTTCCACAATCAACTTAGTCCTCAAGAGTCACTGCATAAACAGGTACACTTTGGTCGAGCTGAAGATCGCTACGTTACCCGCTGACTTGTTTCATCGGAAGATATGTAATGGTTTTTTCCTTGTTTTTCTATGCTTTCTCAGGGACTGATATAATTTGTCTTATAATGGCTAATGTTTGATATTTATCTGTCTTGTTCATGCCTCTCTGCGGCGAACCGCCCTGCACATCTGGCCCCATGGATGGGCTAAGAGGGTCTTCAGGTACGGTTTTTTTTTTTTCCGCTTTCGCCATTCTCCCTCTTACCTCCACCCCCACTACCTTCCACCCCCCCCCCGTATACATTTTTGTCCAAGACAGTAGTGAAGTATTGAGTGCGTGAGTTTCAATGGCTTGCTCTATGCAGAAAAAAGTGAAGTTCCTGATCTACCTGGGGAACCTCTCCCCATTTATTAGAAAAGTACTGCAT